CAGGGGTGGGACTGTGTGCTGGTTCCTGTGATGTTCCCCATATAGACAGTCTCCAGGGCCATGCAGGAAGCATCTATAGTGTTCACCTCAAAGGCAGAAAATTGAGGTAGTGTTTTGAATTCCATTTTGCACTGCTTGATTTTTTTTTTAATTATTTATTTTATTTATTTTAACATTTATTTAGTGTGTGTGTGTGTGTGTGTGTGTGTGTGGCCAGCTCAGCCCACCAGGGGGCGCGGCTGGCTGGCATGTGGTGCTGGGGGATCGAACCGCGGTCCCTGTGCTTTGCCAAGCTTGTTCCAAGTAGGTGCTTTAGACCACTGAGCCATCTCTCCAGCCCAATAAGCATTTTTTTTTTTTTTTTTGGTGGAACCGGGGATTGAACTCAGACCCTTGCGCTTGCCAGGGAAGCGCTTATTCTACTGAGCCATCTCCCAGGCCCTTGCTTGATTTTTTTTTAAAAAAAAAAAAAACCTTGTTCTTGCCTTCTTTAGGAAAGAAAAGCCAAAACAAAAGCCCCATTTTTTTTTTTTTTTTTAAGAAAATACTGAGTTATACCCTCTTTATGAAACACACTGGCAGGACCCATCGGACAGCTCAGCTGTGTGGGGGACACAGATGGACATGCCTCTGGACCTGATGACTCCATTCTTAGCATCTATTCAAGTTTAGCAAGTAGACCAGTATAAAAATATACACTTCCACAGATGTTCATAACAGTCCTAAATAAGAGAGTTGGAGACCCGGGCCAATGAGTCCATACTCTCTTCTATGTTGCTGTTAAAATTAAACCATAGATTCCAGTGTCCCCAGGCTGCACTGACTAACAGAGCTTTCTATAGTTCCAAAGTGTCCTGCTCTGGAATCCTGTGCAGCAGCCACCAGGCACACAGCTGACGAGCACTGGAATCATTTGCTGTGTTTAAATGTGCTGCGTTGAACTCTGTATGGCAGTGTGCAGCTGTAGCTGCCATGTCAGAAAGTGTAGAGCTGGACTCCAGCTGAAGAGCTGGCCAGTGTTCTTCTGTGAAAGACCTGATAGTGCTTCTGGGTTTGTATGGTTTTTTTTTTGTTTGTCAGACAGGGTCTCACTATGTAGTTCATGCTGGCTTTGAGTTCACTGTATAATCCAGGCTGGCCTTGATCCTCCTTCTGCCTCAGCCTCTCAAGTACTGGGATTACAAGCATGTAACCACCATGCCTGGCCTGATAGCATTTCTGTTTTGCAGGGACTGGGAGTGTCTACTGTTGTGACATAAAGCATCTCAGACAGTAGGAGATAAATAGGCTTAGCTATGTCTCAGTAAAACTTTATGAATAGCCCAGTGGGACCAGACTTCCCTTATGAGCCAGTTACTGAGCCCCACTCCAAAAGAATGTGGCAAGTTCAATGTCAGCCTGAACTACATAGCAAGATTCTGCTGTAGTAAGTATAGAAAAACAAGGCTTTGGAGCCAGCCATGTTACTTGTACAAGCGGAGCCCTGTATATCTGTGTGTCTGGTGGCCAGCAGACCCTGGGCAGCGTAGTTCACTTGTTTTCACAAATTTCTATGGTGGATCCCCCATCCATAGGAAAATCTATTTGAACTTTGACTTTGTTTTTAAAAAATGTTGACAAGCTCAACTTTATCAGCTGTTGACAGGCAACAGAACTTGGCTCTTGGTCTAATTCTGTAATACAGTGCAGCATGAAAAGAATAAAAATTAGATGTGGGGTTTTATGGTACATGCTATTCTTTTTATAAAGGAGCACCCTTTACGTTCTGATATGCCATGATTTCATTTCTGTCTTTAGAATTGTTTTGAATTTTAAAGCTTGAACTATTAATTGCAATCCTTGAATCCTTTTTTGGTAGAAACTGACAAGCGAATTCTAAAATTCACATATAAGGACATAGAACAGGCAAAACTTCAGAACTGAAAGACCTGGAAGAGTAGCACTACCTGCCAAAAAGTAAACTTGGATCCCTGCCCCATATGATATATAAAAGTGAACTCTCTAAAACATAATAAATCTAGGGCTGGCCAAATAGCTCAGCGGATTAAAGGGCCTGCAAGCAGGCACAGGGGCTCTAGGTTCGATCCCCGGGCCTGTAGTACAGGCCCTGCCCCCAGGGTGCACTGAGACAACTGAGACTGGACGTGGTGGCGCATACCTTTAATCCTAGCTCTTGGGAGGCTGTAAACAGGTAGATCACTACAAGTCTGATCTAGTAGTGAGACCCTGAACACCCTGTAGACCCTTCCCTAAAATACAGAAAAAATAAATAAATAAATCTAAATGTAAAGTCCCTAGTTTCGAGAAAGCCTCAATACATATAGCCATAAGCAAAGCTTTATATACATCATCTTTTTTTTTTTCTCCGAATGCCTTCAGGGCAGGTTTGGCTGGCTTGAGTTGTGGGGATTGAACCATAGCAACCTGAGCCTGACTGCTTTGTTGAAGCAGCCACTTAAAGAACTGAGCTAAGGGGCA